GTACAGGTACTAAAAAGAAAGTATAATAAAATCCAATAAAAAATTCAAAAACCAGGTAAAATGTATGTGACAAAAATAAAGGTTTCCAAACGTGGAGTGTACAGAAGTTCATAAGAAAGAATAATAATGTGGATATGCAGTATTTAAAAAATCTTCAAAAAGGAGGTAAAACGTTGGTATCTAAAAAAGTCTTTAAAAGGTGAGGTGTACAGGAGTCCAATAGCAAGTATAATAATGTAGACGTACAATATTTCAAAATATTAAAAAAACAGGTAAAATCTCTTATTTGAATAAATTTATTGTTTCATTATTTTAATTTTGATGTGTAAATTACTAGCAGTCATAATCACACAATCGTCATTTTTCTAATAATCGGAGTTCCAATTTTCATTTGAATATTTTTCCTTTGTAATACAAACTAAACGTTTTACTGAAATGTGCGATAAATATGACTATACACGAATGTTCTTTTTGTACTGTTGTATTCTATGTCTTGTTACGGAGTGTTTTACGAAGAGCTTAATAACATTCCATTAAAATGCATTAAGTTGAAGTCTTTTAAAGACAAGTTACCATATTTGATTTCATTAAATCTGTTTTGAAAGGTATAATTAAATGTGAGAAAAATTGTTTTGTTTCTATTTAAATAGTAGAAAAGGGGAATATTGAAAATTCAAGGTGAACAAACAGAACCAGGAGATGAGATCCGGAACTGATTACGAACCTGTTTAACGGCTTCTAATGATTATTAACGAGTTCTGCTCGCAATTTGCACTATGATGGTCTCGCCACCGGCGTTAGAGCGCGCTGCATCTTTCATCATGTTGTGTGTTTAATAAATGTTGGTCTGATATATACTTAGACTCATGTGTCTTATTGTACAACACTTTACGGCACGTAAAATTTCTTCCAGCTATTCCCTAATCTTATTTTGGAATCTGGTACGAGAAACTTTCCCATGTGTTCCATTCTACCTTTAAGCTAGTTGTTTTTTAAAATAGTAACTTAGTTAATATCGAAGAAAGAGTCTTCTTTAAACTTTAATTGAAAAGTTACTTGTTTTGGATACTACAATATCCTTGTTCCGTGATATGTTCCTTCAAACATAAATACATGTAGATATAATAAAATTAACTAGCGTTGATAATGTAGATAAATAAAACTAACCGAGCAAGAACTCTCGCATGTTAACCCCACCCTATTCCCTATCCTTCCATTTCCGTATTAAGTCCATAATATATTTTTTACTTCAAGAACCTCTTATCCTCTGTGACTTGTTCTGTATGTCTCCGTGTAATTGTTCGTTCTTTATTTCCATATTTGAACATAACAGTACAATATACCCTTGGCAATACAAACTATTCGTATTTAACTTTATTACCGAATAAGGAGTTATAACCGTGCAAATTAATCGCATAGAATATCAAGTCTTATACTATATCGCATAGAATATCATCTCTTATACTATTTACGCTTTCTGTGTGTACCATGGTTTGTGCATACTGACGAAGTTTATTTGCATAATTATTGATTCAAGATTCGCTCTCGCAACAACTAGAAGTACTACTAATAGTTGCTTGATTCCAATGAAGATTGTTTCTTATGCGTGTAGTGAAAACATTCATTTAACATTTTTTCAAGGTCTACAAGTGCTGCGTGCCTAATTGTGGCGGGATGTGAGTGTACAACGAAGACGTGCCTTGTTAGGTTTGTTTTGTGTTTTACCTGTACTAGTATTTTCGTTATCAGCGGTGATTCAGTAAAATCTTCGAGCCAGCGTTCTCAGTCACGTAGCTTTCTCAAGAGTATAAAAAGCTTTTTTAATATTCTTGTGATTATCGAGAAAAGCAAAAAGGTAACTGTCAAAGAATATTAAATAATTACTTTGAATATTTTTAAGGAAGTGTTGTGAAATCTTCCAAGAAATCTCTCGTTAATACTGAATAAATCTTTATTGAAAATTTCTTTTCAACATCAATTGCATTGTTTTTTGTTTCTTTTTTGATATTGTGGTAGTACATTGTAAGTTACCTTTATACATTTTTAAACAAATAAATAAATTTTGTTAACAACTTTCCCTCTTAAAATAGAAGGATAGGGAAGAGTGTGGGATTCTCGCACGGAAACGCGAAGGTAGTGGGGGAAAACTTTCGCTATAGCACAACACAAAGAATAAATATTTAAATTAACTAAAGTAAAATAACTTGAAAGAAATAAACAACAAAAATTAAAACGCACTAGCCTACAATACTACGTAAATTAATTTAAAAATCAACAAAATTTAAAACTTTAGAAAAAATAGCGCAAATCACTCGACCAACGATCGCAAAACAGACGCACGATTTAAATGTTGGCAGTATCTTGAAATTTGTATATCAATGCCCAGCTGTAAGCTCATATTGTAAATAATACGCCTTTTGTTATCAAACTTAAGGTGTCGGTTCACTAAGGTTCATCGGTTCACTATTCAATACGTAAACATCACTTGAGCAAAATTGTCATGTACCGAAGTGAAATCTAAGCCTTCTGAATTGTTTCTAAACAAATGGTATTTATTACTCAAAGGTGAAAATATTAGCTTCGGAATTACTTTCTTGAGGCACGTAAAGAACGCAGAAAATCATTCGATACCTTTTAGTATACAAATAATTTTTCAATTTTCGCACCCCAGCAAGCGGGCGCCTTGCCCCTCCAAAACCCCCTCTGTTCCTGATAACAAATTCAGGAAAGAGAAATAATATTGCAAAGACTTGTACTTACCCAATCCTGTATTTTTGCATGGGAAAATAAACTCGGCTTCCTCAAGAGTAAAAACCTTTTCTGATATTTTTGTGGCTATCAAGGAAAGCAAAAAGCTAACTGTCAAGGAAGATTGAATAATTAGTTCAAATGTTGTTTTTAAGGAAGTGTGAATTATTCGCAGAACATATGTATATAATACTAAATAAACCTGTATAGAAGATTTGTTTCCAACATCAATTGCATTGTTTTTATTTTTGTTTGATATTCTGTAAGTACGAACATTCATACATTTTTTTAACAAATAAACATGTTTCATCAACAACTTTTATTCTTAATGGAAAGGATAGGGAAGTAGATAGGTAAAGGGTGGGCATCAACATGCGAGAGTTCTCGCACGGGTACGCTAGTTAGTTAAATTTCACATAGAGTTTCATATTCTGCACTGTCTCTGAACTGGGCTAAAATCGGGAAGCGCCGAACCAAGAAAAATGTAATAGAATGCCCAAGAAGATCTCATCCTGCAGATTATGGTGTGATAAAAATTTGTTTGAGGTCTCTGGCCTCAATATTTCAGATTCTAAGCCCCTAGAACGCCTTGTTTTGGAGTTATGTAATTTTACAGATTTCAAAATCGTTGCCCGAGCGTTGCGGGTTTTATTTGATATGGCTATTTGATACGCTTTTTTCAACAAATCCTTCATACTAACAAAGTTTCAATATGTCAAGTCTCCGCCAAATTCTCTCTTTAGAGAACTTATTTGTAAAGAATGATTGCGTGTGTGAGCCGTAAAGCTCGTCTGTTCTACTGAAATAACATTGGAGAGGATGATAGCTCTTCGTACGATGCATCTGGAAACTAAAAATAATAAAATATATGACGCAAAGGATCGCAAAAGACACAGCATCAAAGTAGAAGCCCTGAGGAACGTTTGAAAGCAAACGTATCCCAAGATAGGTTTGTATGTGTGTGTGTGCGTGGGTGAGAGAGAGAGGGGGGGGAGAGGGAGTCAGTTGGAACTCAAAAAAATTTATATGTTTCTACGATTCCGTTTCATCATCATTAAATTACTAATTATTGTTTAAAATGTTACAACACCTCAAACTAATGTAAACAAATCTAATTTCAATTCCCAAATTATAGTGTATTTAGACTCTAGATATTATTTTTTGATATATATATATACTCAAAAATTTAAAATGTAAAACTTTAACTCGCACAAGACATTCAGACTAAAGAAAACTAATTGAATGACAGAAAAATATTGTTTCTTGTAAGAAATTCATTCGAGAAGCATCCATTTGGCCAGGATATTTTGGCATATTACAGAACAACAGCCTTATTTTTAGAAGTTCTAAACAATTATACTTTATGAATTATGTCATTAATTATGCTTGGTTCTTCAATGGATTACATAACTAAAATACTAGTTCTGTTAAGACTCCCAATTTCCGACCCCATATTTATTTTTAAATTCCGAATTTTATGTATGGAAAGGTTATGTAACGTAGTACATACTGAGCACGTATTTGCTGCTCTTAAGCCTACGTGTCAGAGATTTGCAATCACTGTGCCCGCTGTGTACTCAACTTATCTGCACGCAGGCGACATCAGGGAACATCTGGTAGAGGTTGCGGTCACGCGAACTCACGCATTAGGTGCCAATGGAAGCAAACGAAACGCCGATCACTAGCTAGACAGGTAGGTCGAATTCAGTTGCTGTCTGGAGGGAAATTATAGTGGCCGGCTGCTCCGGACGGTAGTTTTTTTGGTTTCTTCCAACAACGCCAGGCGAATGCCGGAGTAGTACCCCAACAAACGGGCCATGGACCGCGCGCGCGCGATCTTTCCTACCTCTTCCTTGACCTATCCTTACCCTTTACACACACTTACACTTACATTCACTACACTATCACACATCTCAGGAGACCGGTCGTGAACTTAGAGCTTGTCCCTGTTGGGGTGGTGCCACGCCGGTAGGATGTACCTGGTTGAGGAAAACCCCGAAAGCTTGAGTCGGTGCCGGATCTCGCCATCCAGCGAGAGGGGATCACCGCCACCTATCACGATAAAAATCATACACTACATTTACAAGACCAATTACCTTATCAGTTGATGCGCCAGGATCTACTGATCGCCAATCAATCAATCGATAACGTCTGAAATGGTGAATATTAGAACAATGGCAACGAATGTTGCGAGGACTATGAAAAGGAATATGCGAAGTATAATGTCGATTATGATCGTCGTGTCGTCGATTATGATCGTTAATGTCGTCTTCGATTATGATGACTGCGACTTAGTTTCTGGAGGTGAGGGAGACAACGGTCAGAAACAAGAAGTGCGTGATGGGGTAAAAATGAAACGATTAAAGGTGGGCGTTGTGTTTGAAACATGACGCAAAATTACAGAACCTGTGGAGTAATAAGGGTCAAGAGCGCCGCAAATGGCAGAAGATAGATGGATACACAAAATGTATCAGGAGAAAATAGTGATTTTGAAAATATTTTTTGGTGTATTTTTAACGTAGTCAGGTGTTAGAAAATGTTTCTTTTTGTTCATGACTCATTAAACTTACTTATTTCAAAATCACTACTGCCAGTTCACAGAAATATTTTAATATTTTGTCTGGGACAGTTAACGTAAATAGAAGGCCGGATTAAGACACCGCACATAATTGCTTCCTAGCACAAAATTGTTTGGAAGACTCCGAATAAATATCCTCCACAGTTTACTAAAGAGCCACACTGTTGATTTTAATGGAATAATTATTTGAATAAAAAAAATTTATTTTTAGTAAATTTAATTGAATGAAACATTTTATGATAACTTTCTCGAAAATTATTTTGGGTCGCCCCCCTGCATGAATGGGGGTCCCTCGGCACACTTATTTTGCCTGTAGGTTAATCGGGCCCACTATAAATAAACCATAGAACCCAACTCAAATCATTATATTGATCTCTTCTGAAGCTGGTGTGCATTTTTTTTTCAAATCTAGCACGCGTTCTAATTTTTCCACTGCTTGCGACACGCGAAACGCAGCGAAGGCGGCGGCGCCGGCAACGCTGACGTCGACCGCGCTAAAGGCAGTCGCGGCAGATGGCAATGGCAAAGCTTGCAGCTCAAAGGCGTGGAGCGGCGAGCGCGGGCGGGGGACGCGGGTATCATCGGAGGAAGTGAGACAGATGTCGCGGAGGGGGGTGGGGGGTGGGGGGGCCGCAAGCAGAAGTGCCAGGGTCGTGCGCAGGCACAAGGCCAGAGCACGAAAACGCGCGAGCGCCGACGGAGCCTCGCGACCCCATCCCCACCCGCGCCGCGCCACGCCGCGCCGCGTTGCCCCGCACCGCCAGGAGCCTTGCGGCAGGCCAGCCGCGCTGCGTCGCGAACGCGCCACACTCGCCAGCACGTGACTGCACGAGGTAAGTCACTAGGTGCTCAACAACGGCTGGTTGCGAATTGAGTGTCGTAGGGTTCAGGTTAGAGATGGGTTCAGGTTAGAGATGGTAGATTTTAGCAATTGCTAAAAATACGAATGTTACCAAACATTGAAAAAATTCTAATTGTAGGTTTGACGGTCTGTTTAGTATATTTCTTAAGGTTTTTGTAGATTTGCGATAGAATGCAAAATTTATCGGAAAAAGACGAAATCACGAACATGGTGTGAAGTGGATGTGAATCTGCCATATAATTGCTATATTGCGTTGTGTGGTTTCCTTCGTGTTCGCTCTTTAACTAGGGATGCTACATCGACAAAACATATCGATGATTGAAAACACTTAATTTGACATTGGCTGTGTTTACAAATGACGAAATATTAAATTATTTTCACTTATTTCTATATTTTAGTGGGAAAATTTAAAATGATTATTAACATTTTGTTTATGCTAAAGAGTTATCTCTTAATAATAATTTTCTCAAAATATATTACAAAATCCTAAATCTTAATTTTAATTATGCTACAAAATGCTGTAGCCTTGTTTTCAACATGCATATTTTTAATATATAAATTGCTAAATTCTACCATTACTAGTTATCGTGCCTGAAGGGTACTGCGTGCATTCTTTTTCCACATGATTGTCACTGGTATACTGCAAGACTTTTCAGTTAGCTGATAATTGTATTTTCTACGTTTAGATCTCCTGTGCTTTACATAGATGCAACCTTGAGTTTTATTTCTCTTTTTTAATGTTTGTTTTTTTCAAATAATAAAAACAAACCACTACACCATCTCCCTTAAAAGTGTTTCGAAACGTAAATATTTTTTTTTCTTACGAATAAAATGAAAAGATTTAAATCGTGTGCAATCATTCATGTTACTATTTTCACTTTAATAATTTTGTTTGCTAGAAACATTTTTCACGAAATAGAACTTTACAATTACTTTTTTAAGTTGTTCACCTTTTCAGTCAAACATCAACTCTCCCTGCTGATAAGAATATCATAAATCGTAATAATTGTTTGCTTTGGATGTGTGCTGTTTTATAATTGGTGGAAGCACTGCAGGCAAATGCATACGTTTGGCACTCGCAGAGAACCTGTAAGAACTAATCTCTAATAGGAAATGGAATATTAATACAAAAGAATATTGCAAATATGTTCAAAAAATTACGAAAATTTCTAAAAGATTCATTGTAAAAGTCATTGACTTAGAGGACTACGAGTATAAAATTAATTTCTTGTAGGGAACACATCGGAATTAATATGTATTTAAATGCATTGCAAAGAATATAGCATGTAACTTTTTGCACATTTAGTTCATAAAAACTAATTTGGTGGTAGTTAGTTAGACTTAATTCAATAAATTTTGAAAAAAGAGAATGACTTCATTTTTCAATTTCAGTTAGTTTTCTTTTGAAGCTTTGGGGTATATTCATCGTATTCATCGGTCGTATTCATCGGTTCCAGGTACAATTTTATTTTATAAATAACTATTTTGCGAATATCAAATTATCTTTAACACTCTTATGGTAATATGCACCAAATCGTGCTATTTAAAGGTGTTTAAAAAACTATTTGGTTCCCTTACTTACTTTCAGTTTTTGGTTAATAAATGTTATATTTATAATTTTATAAATATACTTATAATTTTTTGAATATAAAAAAATATAATAAAAATGTTATAACAAAATTTATAATTTTATAATTTGTAGAAGTCGCTATCATTTGCTTGTTTCACTGACTATAAGATTTAGCAACAGCAATCATTATCAGTCCGTTATATAACGTATTTTTCTGATGTGCCTTCTTCTGCTGTGGAGTGCCGTTTTCTGTGAAACATCTTAGATATACTAGAGTTCCGCTGAGTGAGTACAATTATATCCAGATACTTGCATACCCAATACCCTTAAACGTTCATAATTATCGTTATTCAAAACCTCCACTTTTTGTCGTACATACTTTTGCGTACCTCTCCTCCCCTCGTTTTACCTCGCCTCTCCCATCCACATTTCTCCTCTCTTCACTTCATTAACCTCATTTCATTCACCTCACCTTATTCACCTCATCTCATTCACCTCATCTCATTCACCTCATCTCATTCACCTCATCTCATTCACCTCATCTCATACATCTCACCTCATTCACCTTATATCATTCACCTCATCTCATTCACCTCACCTCATTCACCTCACCTCATTCACGTCACCTCACCTCATTCACTTCACCATATCTCATTCACCTCATCTCATACATCTCATCTCATTCACCTCATCTCATACATCTCATCTCATTCACCTCATCTCATACATCGCATCTCATTCACCTCATCTTATTCACCTCACCTCGCTTCTCATCTCACCTCACATCACCTCTCCTCATCTCACCTCATCTCTCCTCGCCTCACCTCTCATCACCTCTCCTCATCTCTCATCACCTCTCTTCATCTCTCCTCATCTCACCTCACATCACCTCTCCCCATCTCACCTCACCTCACCTCTCCTCGCCACACATCATATCACCTCTCCTCATTTCTCATCACCTCCTCATCTCATCTCACATCACCTCATCTCCCCTCACCTCACCCCACACATTGTGGTGCGGCGTGGTGTTGCAGGCGAGCGCGGGCGATGGCGACGCTGTTCCGCAGCCGGCGCGTGGTGCTGCCAGGGGGCGTGCGGGAGGCGGGGTTGCTGGTGGACGGCGACGGCCGCGTGGCGCGCGTGCTGGAAGCCCACGAGCTGCTCGACCCCGCCCACGCCGCGGGCCCCCATCTCCAGGTGACCAAGCGCACAACTAAGGATAAAAAACGCAAACCTAAGCAAAATAAAATAAACCTTAACTATGATCAGGGGAGTTCTCACAAATGAAATGAAAGGGCGGAAAACAATAAAAATTATTGAAATAAAATTTTAATTTCTCATGATGACAGTAACAAATGTTAATACTGACTCAATAAATGTTACTAAAACCTGTAGAGGGTTCCATGATTGTCACTCTTTGCCATCGAACATGTGGCGGGAAAAATACCGAAAAATAAAATACTATGAATTTTGCGTACAGGGAAAAGGATCGGGAAGAAAATGTAATTTTCTTAGGAGTTACAGGTGGTGGAATATCCGAACTCCCGCCATTCTACTGTCGTTAAATCGGCCCGAAAAAAAAGATGATAACGATGATGATGAAAATGATGAAATTCTTTCCTCTCAAATCTTTCTTGAAAGTTCTAAAGAGGTTAAGCATGAATTTTAAGTGAGATGTTCGTCATATATACATTGGATATTAGCAACAGTATTGTGGTATTGGATTGTCTTGGAGGATGATATTTATTTTGCATCTTTGGGCCTGTAGAGATCTTTAACTTTCAATACCGCACAATAATAAGTAGCGTTGATATAAAATAAAATTAATTCAGTAAATGTCAGTACACCACATTTTTGCATCCTAAAATATAGAGTGCTTTGCGGATAGTCAAATGGCAACGTTACTTGACGTATTTGAAAGACGTTAGAGACCATTTTACAATCACAACAAAACATCTCGTGCCATTTGTAGAGATAAGAGGTTTTAAACTGGTCACACTTTCAAATTCTGTATACCAACTCTTCAACATTCATATTGATGTAACTCTTCGATTATCTAAAAAGCTACTGTTATGCAACGTTCACGTGTTCCTACTGTTTATTCATTACACGAAGTACAACGTAAAAGAACTTCAGAAATAAACAGAAAATCTGAGAGAAGCAAAGCTGTATTCTGAATAATAGATATATTCCATTTAAACAGGCAACACAGATACTTCAAACAAACATTTAGTTTAAAAATGATCAACACACGTATGTATACCATTAAATGTAAAGTAACTCATGCAGTCATTTGAAAAATGGCGATCTGCAATTGCCGAGTGATTTCTAGGAGTTTATAATAAATTAAAATGGGTATTTTCAACGAGTTTATTAAAGGGCTGAAGAGATGGTAGTTTCTCCAAAAATCCATGGCTAGACTGATGTATTTTTTAAATTATTGCAGTGAATGAGGTTTGCATAGCGGGTGTAGAGTTCTCACAAATCCTTACAAATGTTTTTTCTCCTTATTTTTGGTCGCATAAACGACTAAGGCTATTAGCGACTACAATGCTTTATAGCAGGTGTTAACAGACAATTAAGATTTAATTCATTACATCAACATAAGTGCCATAACACGATGATCGTAACATAACTTACATGTGTTGCTGTGAATCTAAGGTAAGGTTTGCTGGCAGGTAGAGGACTTGGGCGAGTTGGTGCTGATGCCGGGCGTGGTGGACTCACACGTGCACGTGAACGAGCCCGGCCGCACCGCCTGGGAAGGCTTCAGCACCGCCACACGCGCCGCCGCTGCGGGCGGCATCACCACCATCGTCGACATGCCTCTGTGAGCAGCGCACGCGCGCCCCGACACAGCGTTTCCTTCCACGATTGATTCATTGGTTACTAGTGATTCCGGGCGCGTCAACTGCTAAGGTCGATAGTCCCGTAACTGTAGTGTATGTTTTTGCTCGGGAGGTGGTGATCTTCCCCGATGGATGGCGAGATCCCGCGCCGATCTACCGTCGCCTGGCGGGGTTTCCCCAACCAGGTATCTCCCACCAATGGGGCACAAGCTCTAAGCTTAGCTGGGACCAGCTCTAAGCTAACAACTGATCTTCCGGAATGGGTGGTAGTATAGTGCATGTAAGTGTACGTGTGAGTACGCGGTAGGATAGGACAAGGAATGGGAAGGAAAGATCACGCGCTGTATGTGGCCTGTTTGGTGAAGTACTGATTCAGCATTTATCTGGAATTATCGGAGAAACCACAGAAAACTACCGATCAGAGCATCCTCCTGCTAAATTTTTCCTCCAGGCAACGGCAGAACTCTGCCTAGCTATGTGGGTAACGTCGAAACTCCTGGCACCGTCGGATCCTCAGGACCTCCCGTTCTGAGGCGCTGCAGTGGCATCAGTTGCATTGAGCCACTTCTCCAAGTTTTTCCTCCACGATGTAACCACAGAAAGCAGCAGTTCAGTGGAACAACAATAGTTTCACAGAGATGCATACCACACATTAATTAAACAAACTTAAACTATATATATATATATATATATATATATATATATATATATATATATATATATATCAGGATCTAAGATATCAAGTCTTGATTGCGGGGTGTGGAATATTTGGCGGATATTGCGGCGGTCCTAGGAGACTGCTCTTTCACGCTTCTGAGAGGGAAGAAAGTGTGCTGTGAAGGCTTGACGGGTATACTTCTCGGTGGTCAGCAGCGGCTGGAGGATGGGAAATATTCATTCGCGAATCGATTTATTAGAGACTGGAATGGCTGGCCTGTGACAATCTTAGATCCCTTTCGTCAAAGCATGAGCAAATTTAAAAATAAATTACTTTTCTAGATGTTGATATGTGTATTACAAATATCTTTAATATTATTAAATTACTAGTCTATTATGTGCAGTAAGTCGTATATTATTATTATTATTATTATTATTATTATTATTATTATTATTATTATTATTATTAGTCGTATTGCTATTATTACTATTATTATTAATTGTGCGCAGTGGCGTGAAGTTGAGGGGAACGAGTGGGTAAGAAAGACATTACAGCTCAGTGATCCGCAGTGCGGTGAAGTGAAGTGGGGTGAGGTGGAGTGCTATTAAAGTTTGCACGGTGGAATGCTCATTTTAATTTGTAAAGTTAGTAAATTTTGTTAAACTGTTAGATCTGTAATGTTACGTTATTGTATTCTGCCACCAAGTTCCCAAACTAAATTTCAGAATCAGTAATAAATTGAATCGAATCTAATATAGCAAAGCGGGCAGGTAAGGGAACGTGCTTTGCTTCTACGCCTTTCCGTTGGTAGTTGGAATGTGAACACTAGCGATTCCCCCTGCTGGTGTGAAGATATCACACTTCATGGAAATTCGTCGTGTACTTTAGGCTCACTCACGTGAGATGTGCGGAGAAGTAGCGTAAGCTCTTAGCGGAGAAGAAATACATATGTCGCAGAATAAATCTTGCGAACGTCTAGGACATATAAACGCACAGGATCATCTTTTTTTGTCAATGAACATGCGGTGGTAAATTTCATGAAATGAAGTAAAACATGTGACACTTGCCATTATGCATTGGTTTTTGGCGGGTTCGTAAAATTTCACTGGCTGCAACTGCTCAAAATGTGAGCTGATGTGTATGTTGCGTTGCCTATCAATCAGTGACTGCCACATAACTTCGCTATACGAAATTTCCCACCACGTATATATCCCTTATGTCCTATAAATTGATTCTCAGACATCCGCTCATCTAAATGTTTGTAGCGTGACGAACCGTCGTAATGATGTAATGATCAGCATTGTCTAAGCTTGACATCTTTCATACGAGCATTTTGATAAAAAAAATCTGCAAGCGGAGGAGCAGGTCGGCGCCGGATATTGCCAGCGGGGGAAGATCACCGCCATTTCCCGCAATAAAACATTGAATTGAATTGAATTGAATTGGCCTTATTTTACGTGGCGAGACTCGGGCCATTAGGCCCGCTCTTCCGTCTGACCACGCAATTTCGCTACGCTTTCACCAACTAGGAGAGAAAGGAGGTATTTCTTGGGCGAGAAACAGGCGATTTTGAATTTAGCTCAGAGGCGTCATTTAGGCTTGAGGATCTTTTACATGCAAGTAAATCTACGAACATGGGACAGCCGGCTTTACTTCCCCTCCGAAGGAAGGCGTACGAAGGATTTTTTCGCCCTTAAAAATCCACGGCTTCGATCGGGTTTGAACCCGTCAACTTGGGTACAACAGTCCAGTACGCTAACCGTTACACCATCGCCGCCGCAAACATTCGCAACATTTGCTGTACTTTAGGGAGTAATCATCTTATCAGATGACGCATCCGGAATCATAAATCAATCAATCCATACGAGCACAAAACGTTTTGTAAACGACCCTTTTCTTAATGTAAACGGCGTGTCAACGCACAGTTCCAGCATAGCTGAAAAGCTACCTCTTAAAAGGCAGCCTAGCTGTTAAGTTTGTTTCGAAAGTAAAACTATTAAGCTATATATAGTATTCCAAAACCTTTGCTCTTCATCGCACTCTTCTCATTAGAAATGTAGTTGAAGTTTAAATTAACATGAATCAATGCGGTAACTAAAATTCACCTTGTATCAGCGTCATAAAATGAGATCCGCTATTTGAATCGTAAATGATTAGCGTATGACCCTAAATGGACGGGTAACGGCGTCTGGTAGGAACCAAGCTAGGGTATTAACGATTAAACGTATTTAGTAACAATGCACCACAATGGCCCATTGTACAAGTTTCATGCCATCTTACGAGTGGAGTTAAAGGAACGCAACCCTTCGTACTTAGACGGCACAAGGGCAGCATTCCCAATTTGGGAGAATCCGTCAGTCCGTCCATCCGTTCGTCCACCCGTCTAACCGCCTGTCCCCAAAATTGATATTTTCCAATCGATACAAATCAAGGCCCTCCGAGTTTGAATCATATATTTGATTTTTCGAGATTCTTTACGTGAAGCCTCTTTTACATTTACAAACTTCTTTGAATAGCATAAATGACGTTTAAGAGAATTGCGGAGGTCTCATTGTTGTTGAAATTCTTAATTTTTGAAAACTTCAAACGTTTAGAATTTTTTGACATCTTCCTACAAATACAAGAATGTAGATAAATATTTTTTTAAATAAAATCTGTTCATTAAAAATATTTCTTAAAAATAGGATCATGTAGAATTTTTCGGCTCACTTCCGTCGAACTCTTTGAATTTTCAATAACCGCTCATTTTGAAATAATGAGAGAAAATATGCGCGTTTCATTTGCTGAAGAGCTCTTTAAGATGTCTGAAGTATTAGTTAGATACAAGTTCTAATATTATAGTATTGTTTAATAGTTGCAAGTAATACTAGGAAATATGTGATACTGTTGCATCGTTCGTTAAATTTATATACTTTGAAATGAGATATCTATTTTGTTTCAGAAATTCTATACCTCCTACGACTACCAAAGCTAATCTGGAAATAAAACTAGAAGCCGCCAAAGGAAAGGTTCATGTGGACGTTGCATTTTGGGGAGGAGTCGTCTCAGGAAATCAGGTAAAAAATTATTAATTCACAGAACTACAGCTGCCGTCTCGCAGGTCGGAATGCCATTGTCCCATTCCCATCTGATATTTCCTGATGGCTAGCATTTATTTCTTATTACATATGAAAAGTATTTTTAAGACAGAAAAGCTAATTGGACTAATTTCATTTAAGGTTTGTGGTTTGTTTGAAGAAAATACATCAATACATTCAGAATTCAAATACATTCCTCGCGACATGTATAAAAAATATGAATTGTCAAACAGGTTACAAATAATTTCCAAAAGACTAATTTGTAAACCAATAACAAAAGCTCGAATGTAAGAAAATAACAAAGAAATTTGAAATAATAAACAAATTGTAACTTACGTACCATCCAACTGCCTCTAAAATTACGTTCACGAATCGCAGGAAATTCGAAGCGGATGACTATGATGCCAAATTACACAAAAATACTCATATTTTCGATAAATTGAGCTTGGTCTTATTTAAAGATCTGTTTTTGATTAACACATTTCATTCAGAAAAATGTACTTCACAATAGTAGCTGTAGGATGACACCGAAAAAACTGAATTTTTACAATTTTCGACAAATCTGGGATTTCAACGAACAAGACACCTGCACCATTCTCTTAAGCGTTCTTTACGCTATCTACGGTCACTACCTCAATTTTCTTTCTACTCACATTACCTCCATTTTCACACACCTTAATGTCAACCTCTTCCCCCACGATTTCCATATAATATTCAGTTCCTAATTCTTCAGTATCATGTTTGTCTGACATCTAGTAATGCTTTCCCAATTTAATCATTTTGGAGAGGTAAAGAATTGTATCTTTTAGACCAAGTTTCTATAATCAAATTTCACTGTTCACCTCAAGAAAAGAACTCCAAGAGATGATGAATAAAATGTAAATAGCGAGATTGTAGCAACGGTCTGATACAGAAACAGTTAATATGATGACAACAATGACAACGCAAGCTGTGAAACTCAAATTCTAAGAAATAGAATGAACTACATATGTACGCAACCAACAGGTGCGTAGGTACATCGTGTACCAATAATATTAATGTAGAAGCAGAACTAAGGCACAAATAAGTTTCGTAATTGCATATAGGCAGCACGTATTTACGTAAAAGGATTGAAAGTCACATTAGCGAAGTAAAAGCAATTAAATTACGAGATAGAGGCATGATTTTTTAAAGAAACAACTATAGGGTGAGTTTGCATTTCGCTAGGACATTAACGGGTATCAAGCCCTGGATTTTAAATGATGACTTAAAACGACGATTGTGACAGTATTTACGTTTTATTATCATCTTGTTCAATATGTGAGCCTGTTTTAAATGAGTTATACAACTTGGATATTACCATTTCCGGGTTCTAATGTTCTAAAATAAGTTATTGTTTGACTAAATTTGTACCAAACCTCATTTGAGTACATTTGATATATTTCAATATAGTACTGATGTGTATTCAATAACAAAAAGATAAAATTTTCCTTTTTTTATTGATGACAAGGAAAATTGGTTTTGCAGAGACATCTAAAAGACATGGTAGAAGCTGGTGTTGTGGGCTTCAAGTGCTTCCTCTGCCCCACAGGAGTTGAAGAATTCTCGTCCGCATCTGTCGCAGACGTGGAAGAAGCTTTAAAGGAACTTCAAGGAACCAAATCAGTTCTTGCGGTAAGTTGTCGCACTCTACACCAGCGATTCTCAATCGTTTTAAAAGACCCCTTTCAAAAGAATTTTCTCTTCTTCCTTAAGCCTCCTTCTTCTCCCTCTTCTTCTTAAGAATTTTTGGCTCCATCGACCCCTTACGTTATTCTCTATAATATACGTAGCAACAGTATTCTCTATAATATACGTAGTAACATACGTAGTCAAAACTCAAAGATTTGCCCATAAATACCTTCAAGTTCAAAATTTATTAAACCAATATTTTCATAAATATCTATATTTACAATAATCAAAATGCTTCCCTTTTCAATTTCTAATCTTTGTTGTTGAACAATGGTTACAAAACGTTGATAGTTTCTTCCTGGCCGAAATATTTGTAGTGTAAATTGCTAGAAGTATTATCTTTCCCAATAGAATATTTTGGTCAATATATTGTTAGAATTTATTGAGTTATCTAAATATTCTTAGCAGTTGCATAACCACGTTCAGCAATGAGCAGGTACAAAAATTGAAATGGGCCCCTGTCTGAAATAACCGTGAAATTAAGAGTTTTAAATCTGATTTTTATAATAATATGGATGATGTAGAGGAGAAAATAAGTGTGAAGAGCATTTTGTTTTATGTTTTGCCAATATCCGTCCGCCGAGGCTCTTATTGACGACTGCCCCACACTTTCGGGAACTGGTGCGGTGCACCAGTTGCCCCCGCCTAGCTACGCTCATCCTAAGAATGAACAACAGATACAAAAGTGGAGGAGTGAACTTATAATTCTTTGTTATTATATGTTTTGTTGCTCCATATCAGAAAAAATATCAAGTTCACTTAATATTCTTTGTAATCAATGTGATTTGATTATATCTATCAATCTACGGTTTATATTCAACTATAGAACCTCGATCGACCTTGTGATCGTCACTGACCCCCTTCAAAATTTCATCAACTTCCAGGGGGTCGAATTCGACCCTGTTGGAAACCCCTACACTACACTTATGAATTTTGATTAATAGTGTGTCAGATTACGAGGGCGATTTTCTCGCTTATAATGTAACAGCTGCAACGTTTATAACCCAGGTATCAGGTAAATTGAACTCGCTGCTTTGAAAATCACACCATGGCTCATTAGTGAATTAAGCTTTTGACGCCTTCCAGTTAATAACCATATTATAAACATGTAATTGTGTTGCACGGATTAATTCACTTTAAAGGCTCGACACGCGGTGCACAATTTCACTAGATTTGATAATATAATTATGATATATTATAATTAATGTAGCCGATGAAGATCAACGGGGAGATGGTGGATGCTAGTTGAAAAGTTTTCCTGTTTTACAGCACTTCACACTCAGAAATTGAAGCTCTCAAACTGAAAAACCGGTCCCAATTACACCCAAAGAAAAATACGACTTTTAGATTTGAAAAAGCAATATTTGCTGTCGTTTCTGAAGTTCCAGCCGAAAATGTATTTATGTGTCACTACAAATGAATTTGACCAAAATCATTTAAAAAAGAAAAAAATAACAAATTAATTCTAAAAATAAAATACATAAAAACAATATTTTCACTATTTTAATTTTATCTCAAGATTTTTAGAATTGATACAATAATTAATATTGTGAAAATGCAGATAAAGTTAATAAAAGATCAATTGTCAAACAATGTTAAAGCGTATAATTAAAAATGGTAAAATTTGAATATACTATTTTCTCTTTTCTGAAAAACAATTAGTTAGTCGTTTTAAGATACAGTAATTTACAGATAATGTATGTAACATTACAGAAATTATTCAGGCATATTACACGTACTAATGTTATATAAAATAAAATGTGTAAAGTGTATACACTCGTAGATGTGTCCAGACTTATCCGCATCAAATATAAGCCACTAGTTTCCACGAGCACAAACAATGACATTAGCAGATACTACTTTAAAATTTGCGTGGTATCTATCCACGCCTTTTAGTAAATGTGCAAGTGTTCGGATACTTTAATATTTAGGACGACACTTAGAACTTCTTTTCTTCCTTCTATTGTCTTTTATGAGTCCCGACAATCTATGAACTTGTTAGTGGCCACATTTTCAAAGATTTTCAATTATTTTTCATTATTAATTAATAATTCATTGCTGCTCAGAATTATTTTGTTTCAGCTTTCAAATTTCTCGTAGATGTTTTATATAGGCCGCTATGGTATGTAATATTATTGTTGTCCCATTTCACGAAGACGCGTATATCACAAATCCATATATTTCCCAGTTAATAAAACAACAACCAGATGAGTATGCAAAACACACGACAATGTATTGTATTCGTGCGTTCAGTCCTTTCAGTGTGAAGAGTGTATTTTTGTACTTGAAACCATGTGGGTTTTTTCGAAAAACTAATAAAGGGAAAATTTCATTACATTTTGGAGTAGATACAATGTACGAGAGGGAATAAGGAAATCTGCTGAAGGTATTGCCTCCGGAAACGTCCGGAAAAAATGACAGAACATAGCACTGCCACTCACCATCTTTAATGCCGGACAAACTGCAGTTTTACTAACAGCTTAGTCAGGAAGTTATTGACAGGAGTCAGAGAGATAAGATGAATTTCTTCTTCTGAAACCGAAACCGCTGAGAAGTGAAATCAATTCGATTTATAATAATATTTATTTCTTTTTCTCCCTAGATAAAAAATATCTCATGCATGATTAATTAGAGATCACCAAACTTTCAAAATGCTCTCCTATAAAATTTCTTTAATGTCTAATAATCCTGTCATTCTGGGGCTGTGATTTAGCTATTCGTCTTATGTACACTTTTGTGCTAACTTCTGTGTACATAATATTATCTCAATCGCATTGTTTTTTCTTTCCACAGTTTCATGCAGAAGTTGATCTCCCGGACGTCGAACCACCCCAAAAAGGTATTAGCAGAAGCAGGTGATGAAACCAGCTGTGTTCTGTTGGCATTGGCTTAACTAAGTTTTCCCAGAGCCCAGAACAAAACGTATACCCCCCCCAAACTTAATTATAGATATTAAATATTATAGAAAATTTAGACATCGAAGATACAATTTTTTTAATGAAATATGATCATAAAAACCAGATTTTCAAATAAACTGATGTTGAATTTTTTGAAAATATAAATAATTTTATGCAATTTCGTCACAAATATAATGGTCCGCTCGAATTGACTGCGCTCGTTTTCGGCGTCGTCTTATAAGTACAACTGTGAAAATACATTTTTCTTAATGAAATGTGTTTATCATAATTAGAACTTCAAATAAGGTCACGTTCAATTTGTATTTAACTGCTGCGATTTTACTGCTCTTCTTGAACGATCCTATAAAGTTGAATGATTCGTGAGTTAAAATTTATATACTATTGAATATTGCTTAGTTCGTTTCTTTATTCGACCTTTTGTTATACCTTGAAACATTAATATTTTAGAAATTATTTGAAGATAGAGATAGATATCATATTGAAATGCTATAATGACTTGATAACAATGACTCGGAAGTTCATTTTTGTGATTTGCGTCTCATTATTAAGACATGATTTACCTGCATGAAAATCAGTTACAATTGTGAAATTTGTGTTGATATTTGCTTGTAAATATTTAGTTTTTTCGCCAAATGTTGTACGATTTGTAATGGTTAGAATGACGGTTTTCTTTCACAAGTTTTATATATTCGCATACAAGGGGTTTATTGTCTGATGATTTGTTTGAAAGATCAGTCGTTATTAAGGAAGTTCGGGACGGAAATGCACAAGTCGGCAACATCGTGCACGTAGCGTGCTTCATTCAAATCTAGCGAAAAGTTTCTTAAGTTCTTACTCTTCCCTCGGTGTACTGGGATGACTGGTAAGACTCTCTCACTCCTAGAAAATCTTACCTTTAATATTAACTAGATTATAAGCAAAGCTAAAATTTAATGGATACAATACAAATATTTTTTGTGAATAGAAATTAGCATGTAGAAAAGTCTTGAACTTTTGCAACGTTCGAAAAATCAAGGTTTTCAACGAAAATAAAACCTTCACCATTCGCACAAAGTTTCTTCATGCTATCAAACAACAAAATTTAATAAAAAAATTGGAGCTATTTTTAATATATCCCAGGGGCTTAATATAAAGGAAAAGAAATCGATAAATTTTTAAATGATTAAGCATTCATTCATTTTTGTAATTTATTTTTAAAAATGAATTATATAAGTATTACATAAGTATTACTAAAGCCGAGAAAGTACGTGCTGTTTTAGCAGTCATAGTTTTACTTTCCCGTATACGTACATATATACGAAGTAATACAAGTAGTATATAGGGAAAGTTACGTAATGCTGCGGAAAATCGATTTCGAGATTTCAACGGAAATACACATTTTGGAGTCCCCGGGGACCAAAAAAATTGCTGTGTTTTTTAACAGCGTCCGTCCATCTGTCTGGTGTATATGAACATCAATTTGACTTGTTACCACTTGTATTTCAATAGTATTCTAAGAAGGAAATAATTTTCCAAAAGACAAAAATAAAAATAAATTAGGATACTTCCATGAAAGAATAAAAGAATTATACACGCGTAAATATCGTATATTTACGAATATTCTATGTGTGTTTGCAGACAAAGCCAGAAAATACCAAACGTACCTGAACACCAGGCCTCCATTAATGGAAGTAAATGCAATTCGAAAAGTAGCTGAATTATGTCAACAATACAAGTAGGCATACTTATATATCTTAATAGAGTAAATCGTTAATGTATGAATCTTAATAGTGTAAATGCACTGTTTTGAAACTGTGGAAACGTGAGATGCATTACATGATATTTAATAACAAAACAATATCAAAATCAATTGTGTTTTCATAAAAATGTGCCGTGAATAAAATATGTTTGTACAGGGATTTCAAGGCGTTCTTCTTTTTTGTTTTCCTATATTACTCATGATTTCCTATATTCCTTTTCTTTTTCTTATACTACTAATTAACCGCTAACCTATTCACACTTTATCAGTCCTTTAATTCGATGTTGCATAATTTCAAAATAAGGTTGTAGTCAAAACTCACGAAAAGTCTGTTTTGTTTACAGAGTGCGTTGTCATATCGTCCACTTGTCAGCAGCAGAGGCACTACCCATCGTGAGAAATGCAAAAGCTCGTGGAAATCAGCTTACAGCTGAAACATGTCACCACTACCTGTCCTTGGCGTCGGAAAATATTCCCGACGGCGCAACCCAATTTAAATGTTGTCCACCCATTAGAAATCAAAAAAATCAGGTACGAGTTTGGGTTGATCGGGATTACCCGGTGTTGCATGAGTATTGGCGTCATTTTAATGAATTTATTTCTCCACTGAGTGCGTCGCTAAGGCTGTGGTAATAGAAAATTTTGGTTTCCCATTGCTTTCTCATTATTTGTAAAGGCCCCCAAAAAAAGGTAATTAAAAATTTGCAGAGCAATGATTATGGCCATATTTGTAGAGGAGGTATTTTAGAGATAATCCTACGAATACTAGAAGCTAGTGATATCTACAAAGAAACGGACGGACGGACAGACAGACGTTTCTGAAACCTACAGTGATTCCTATACACTATTTACTTAGTCCAAATACATTTAGGATAGTTCATGTCGTATCACATTTTTTTTATTTTGGTTTATTGGAATATCACTCAGGTAAATAAATTAACTTTTCTCATCGCTTTTAGGAACATCTATGGACTGCCCTTCGTTCAAATGTACTAGATATGGTAGTATCGGATCACTCTCCGGCAACTGCCGACACGAAACGACTTGACGATGGAAATTTTCTTGAGGCCTGGGGAGGAATTGCATCAGTTCAATTTGGCAAGTATTGTGTTAATTTACGAATTTCTTCGTACATTCTCAATTATTCTTTTGAAACAACTTATAATAAGTAAAAATACTCAGTTTTGTACAAAACAGCAACTTCATTTCCTGTTTGAAGAAATCTCATTATTGTACAATGTCGAATGTACCTATAGGTTTGTCTCTATTTTGGACTGCTGCCTCCGAACGAAAGTTCACTCTTACGGACGTTGCCCAGTTCTTATGCCACAAGCCAGCAAAGTTATGCAGTTTAGAACACAGGAAAGGGCACATAGCGGAAGGAATGGATGCGGATTTTGTCATTTGGGACCCAGAGGCTTCATTTGTGGTAGGTATTTTTTTTTTGTATAAAGAATAGAAATGAAATATAAATTAAATAAGAAATTCAAAATAATACAGTGAAATCTGATGAAACGGCAACTCTATTAAAGCGGTCACTCAAACCAAACTTCATTTCTTTGCTATAACAGATTGATTTTTCCAGAAACATGGAAAAATATGCCCTTTTTTCAGCGGACATCTGGCCTCACGTTTCATTTGGTGTATTAACAGTCGCATATCAAACCAACTCCGGTACCCCGACGAAAAAACAAATATTATAGTGAATAATATTGTACCCGATTGTGCATGAGGAAAATAGTTCGTGTGTATTGTAGATTAATTGTGTTTAAAGATGTATTAAATATGTATTCAGTAGTAACGATAATATTTCAATACCTCACTTGTATAATATGCAACACATGCTTACTTCACTGCAAATGGCAAAGTTAGGCCAGATGTTCTCTTCCCATTTTCTCATAACTTTCATTATTCTTCAAAATTAATCATTAAGCGATCAACTGTTCTAAGGGCTATGATTCTTGGCAACCATTAGTAACCGTTTAAAACAGGGTTCACTGTATTATTATTATTAATTCAGAATAACGTGTACAAACTAAAAAACATAATAGGCGCTTTCTTTTGTGCAGGTGGATCCATCGGCTATTCATTTCAAGAACAAAATAACTCCTTATTTGAATAAAACACTGAAAGGACGAGTAATACGTACAATTGTCAGAGGGAAAACTGTTTACGAAGTTGGAAAAGATTTTCCGGCACCACAAGGACATTTAATTTTACTTTCAAATGATATTCAATCTAACTGAAGATTTTTAAAAATAAATTTTATAATGGGATACATATTATGAAGCAAATAAACTATCTGCTTCCACTTTCCTTGTTTGATTGTGTCACAAAGCCGAAACCCGTTCATGAAATACCGGCCTCTACAAGCTTATTGAGAATACTTCTTTGGAATGTAATGCGATCAACATGTATTATTCGCGCAACTTTTCTTGTACAATGACCTTGCTTCCGTCTCTGACACAAACAGTTGTAGACAACATTCCTAACACATCTTCACTGGCGCGAAGCAGAAACTATTTTCCGTTGAAGACGAGAAATTCTGTCTGTGATTTACTCCAAAAAATCTAAAGAAATGACCGAAGTAGGTGAATATCCATCACAGGAGATACCTCGAACTCCGGAGAAAGTTAGAACGGAAATTATTGAGAAAGTTGCGAAGGCATGACTGATTCACCAGAAATTGACTTAACTGCATAAAATTAAGTCGCCGATTTTGTAACTAGTACCCCGCTCTACCTGCATTTCTGCATTCCTTCGTTCAAGAAAAGTTGCACGAGTATTACCATAACTTCACACAACTATGGTCCTAAGCCGCATCTAAAGACCAGACAACAACGAACACGATAAACCTGATAGCTATTTCTATTGATATGCTATAGGAAGAACACAGTTTTAATATATCTGTGTTAGCGTTCGGTTATACTTTTCTCGTCTCATTCTACCGTTGTGAGCTACCAGTGTCAGGTTAAATGTTTCACCAAACGTCGCCAGCTTCAAACTTTCATGGCTCCCTTTTATCACAAGCTAGTTTGTGTTCTGTTTCACATGGCTGATAATTTTATTCGTTTCATACTTACATAAATGCTTTTGTTAATAAACTTGAATTATTATTTTTATTTTTAAAAAAATTTAAATCTGTGGGGCTGCATCAGCCCGTACTTCATTTCATTAGTAACGGTTACGTAAAATTATAGTAGCTTATTGCAATTTCTGTCCACATCTCAGCCATCACTTGTAAAACTCACTACTAATCGTAGATCATTAGGCGCAGAAACACTTCATTTAAAGCTAATACATCAACACAAATTCGACTATCCAAAACTGCCTTCATAGACCCAGAAACATTGTCCAACAACGATGTAACGAGAGTGCATGCCTGCCTATAGGTGCATGGGAAAGAGCCAATGAGGAGCGAGGAGAGGTTTCGGGGGAACCGCAGGAGAGGACACAAAGAAGTCGCGTTACGATGAAGATAGTTACAAGTCGTTGTATCCTCATTTACCTAATATTCCCAATACATGGTGTCAGGAGGGTTGATTTCGTAAAAGAATGGTGTGCTATTAGAGTGAATAACAGACATAAAAAGGTGTCCCGCGCAACGTATGAATAGAAGTAGCAGATATTTACAGGCGGAGAACAAAATTAAAAAAACAAAATGGCGGACGGTTATTACGATGCAAACGCGATTGCACTGGGGCGGCTTGCTTCAGGGGTGAAAGGCTGCGGAGTGCAGCAGTGTTCCTTAGGAGTTGTAAATATTGTTTAGTGAATTACTCTAAATAAATCTGTAAATAGCAACTCCGTGTCTGTATTCTTACTCTATCACGGCGACGTCACAACATAGCATATACGAGAATGTACGTAGTTTAGAAAAAGTAATTTGTAATGCTGCGAAAAATCGATGTCAAGATTTTAACTGATATACACAGTTTGGGGTACCTCGATACCCAAAAATATGTTTTTTTTTAATATCTATTCGTCTGTAAAAAACACTAGCGTTATTTCCGTTAAAATCTTCACAACGATTTTACTAAAGCTTATATGACTTTTCTATACTAAGTAAATATTCCGTATTTACTCCATAAAACTCTAAATTTACTACATTTACGTGGAAGTAAATCATTTGAACTTATTCGCGTATTCTAAATGCATTAAAGAACTAATATTAAGAAATATATTATAAAATAAAACTCAACCCCCTAGAATGGCATATGTATAGTATGCTAGCTTTCTGTTAGGCGGTTCCGGGTTTGATTCCCGGTCGGGGCACAAATGAAACTGTAGCTTTTCAATACAAATCGTATCTGTAGCTGTGACGAAAGAAAAAATCTCAAGCCGGCCAAATATGCCAATTACGGTGATGGGAATATATAATGCTCGACATGTTTTACTCACATGTGGATAATAAATAATAATGGCCCATGCCTGAGAATACCATTACCTGGCAAAGGTTTAATGAAGCCAACCTAAGTTCATACATATAAGAACTCTCGAGATTCAACATTGAAAGTGTAAAAAAAAGATTCAGAGCTAAATTCATGGAGACCAGAAAAGACAAGTACTTGACGAAACTTGGCGTACTGTTCGCCAATCAAAAACCTTTCAGTGCCAAAATCACGGTTGCAGAAATAATCCAGTAGTTGACGAAACTTAGCATATCGTTTGCCAACATTTACCAATTCAAAATTCTCGTTTCTCAAACACAAAAAAAACCAACAAACATTTCGGGATTTAGATCAGATACGACAGAAAAATCCATGTAATTCAACTAAATGTCATTTTCGCAGTATTTGCCAAGGTTTGTCTAGCCAGACGAGAGAATTCTACAAAAACGTGAGGTATACATACGCGACAAGGGTAATTTCACACAGAGCATCACATTTACTTGTTGACTGCTAAAGGAGCAGATGGAGCGAGAGTAGAAGAAGCTGGAGGAGCGGAAGGAGCTAGAAGATTTTATATTTGTACATTCATTTAAGTGCAGTCCCCCCAATGAATCTGGGTGAGGTGCCGAGCGGGTAGAGTGGACGGAACGGTGAAGGGGCTATAGAATGATGCCGAAGGAGCAGCAGCAGCAGAGACGACTGGAGGAGCGGAAGAAGCTAGATCAGCGAGTGTTGAGAGGTGCTCGTAGATCTGAAAGAATGGGCGTAGCGGAAAGAGCGGGAAGAACAGAGTGGAATGCCTGGATGGGTGGGGCGGCAGGTAGGGACAAGGCAGCCCTGGCAGGACCGATGGGGGGGGGGGGCAGGAAAGACGAACAAAATTAAAGGGGTTGGATGGTCGGGACGGAAGCTAAGGGCAGGACAGCTAATGCAAGAGGGATGGGACGTGCAAGGGAGACTGACCAGGCGTGCACGTCAGACAAGGTTATTGGATCGGGAAGTATCTACGGAACGCCGAGTAATGAGCTAGTTTTGTAGTAAGCTATCTAGTTTTCATTTTATGTATTTTTTTTTTATTTTGGGGGAAGCAAGCTAAGTTACTGTCCAGCACAAACAAGGGGCATCTCAGTCTTCGTTCTACACATCGTTGGAAAAGTACAAGTTGCATTAAATTTTATATAGATAACTTTTCAAAATCTATAACATTAATATTAAACAAAATTGCCATTAACGAAACAATCTAAAATGTACATTAGACAACTTTAATCACAGTACATGAAATTATCCGTAACTGGAGTATACAAATACATCAATTTAAAACTTTTCAAAATGTTACAATTTTAAGAAAAAAATTACAGTAATACATTGTATATTACATTTTCCACAGCAACATATCTTCACTCTCAATTAAAATATTGTACCGTCTTTTACTAGCTATTTGAGATTTAGAACTACACTTAATTTATTACAACAGTTCTCATTCCAAAATTACACCTTGCATTACCTAGTGGGGGTGTTACATTAAAAGGTATTGCTAAAACGAAATTAAAAGGAAAGGGAAAAGGTAAGGGGCGGTTGTCCCTATTCCCAATACTTTCACATTTATTATCACAACAATTTTAAAAGTTTAAGTACATGTTAATATAAAACGGCAAAAACATTTTCAAATCGTTGGACCACTATCAAATTGGAAATGGAAAGGAAGGGAAAATGGTTTTAAAATAATATCTCTAATACAAAAAAGATATTTCCCCTCCTAGGAAAAGAAATCCATAATTTCTCCAACGTGTCATGATTTAGCACAAAGGTGCTAAGCGTAAGATTTTACAGCTCCAAAACGAGGTCGATGATGAAACGAACTATCAGCCAAACCCGCACATGAAAACTGGACGGTAGGCCACGCTCTGTAGCCTTATGGGAACAACTTTTGCTTCCGACTCTTTCGCAATGTTGCAGCATCTGTTCAATAAAACGCCAGAATACTAAGTTTAAGTTTATCAGAAATATGTTCTACACCTAATTGTTGGTCATAACGATTTTTTAAATTGTTTGTACGTTTCGTGAATCAAGGGACGACTAGTTTCTCTTCGTTCCATTATGTATCGTGTAATATTTGCTAACATTTCACCAGAAACTGTTGCGCATACTCAAATCAAACAGTACATCAATTCGCTAAAACGAAAATTCAAATTCTTACCACCTTTTTACTTATTTGAATCCAGTTTAATCACTTTCACACACTTATATTTCCGTACTGTCTTATTAACCAGTAAGTTTTTCAACACCAAAATAAAACCATGTAATTTTGGTAAGATGCAGAGTTCCGACCATTTAGCTATGTGAAACGACGTTTCTTACTAATAAACACTTAGACAATAGTTTTATTTGTAAACCATATTTTTTCTTGTAAATTACAAGACGCAATGAAAAGTTAATACCTAAAAAGCAAGTCATTTCTGAGTCAGGGAGCATGTGTACAAATAACCAATTTTCCATTATTCCTTCAGTTTTCGAAACGTACTGAAAGAATTAATGTTTGAGAGATGTTTGGAACGTCAACTCCGAAGAATTATTTTTTCAGTCCATTTGTCTATTCAGTCACATTGTCATTCATTTTATACACATTTCGAAGCAATAATGTAAGCTTGACATTATTACGAAAGTTGCGAATGCATTTTGTTCAGAATTAAATTCCACTTTTTAATGAAACATTACCTGGTATAACGAACAAAGTCTACTTCCTTTACGCACCCATCTTGTGGGAATGTACCGTAGTATAGTATACCATAGATGTTGAGAAAACTTCATTCCGAAATGCTTATTTCTCGACATTGCATCCTATGCAATGTTGTAACGTAATGTTAACAACGTTCCACAATACAATTACGTTTTGTTTAAAATTAAAGAACGCATTTTACACCATTTTGTCTGCTTTAGAAATATGTCTGTCACCCGTCATAAAAATACACTAGTAATGCATACACTAGAACACACAGTATCCCATTACGAGTTCTAAGCAAAGAAATAAATTTGGATCTAATTTGTTTGCATTGTTAATATTCAATAACCGTAGTAAAACTTATTGTGACACACTGATCTTCATATATAGATAACCTTTTCTTGCGTCAGAGTGAAATCCTTTCGATCGTTTTGTATATACCAGAGAAATACACCAGTTAGCACTTGAGTATCGTTGCCTCTGATTTCCTTACGCTATGATAGCCACCTTTTGTAACCAAGAATATAACCTTATTCTGTACATACACGCACTGTACACTTAAGACATATTTCATGTTAATATCCTTAGATCATTATATAAAAACACGTTTTCTCGTGCCAGTTTGAAATTTGGTTATGTTGCATAGACAGAAGACTTGTACACCAATTTACACCTCCGTATCGTTTCCTTTATTTTCCCTAAACGAGTATCACTATTTGGAACCAAGAATATGAACTTATCTTTCTCATGCACACTTATTACGCATTATACACCACTTCGTTTTAATTCACGTTGATACCCGTTGACCAAGACATAAGCTCATGTTTTCTCGTGTCAGAAACCCTTTTAATTGTCTGGTGTAGACCGAAGACAAACAACAGTTCGCATATGCCAACCTGTTCCCTTTATTTGCCTAACGCAGCACCACTTTTTACCAACTATGTCGACCACTTTTACGCATGCTCGCTCATTACCTTCACTACGACTATTTATTATGCGTGCGTCGCGTATTTCAGTTGCGCAGAAACCGACCAAGTGTGCGGAGCCGATAGAAGCACGTTCAAACCCCGCATATACGTAATTTTACCAAACGACTAGCTTCGTTAGCTAGTCATATCAATACGCATTTCTTCTGAACCATCATCCATTCATTATTGTACACAGCGACGGGTCACAACTCGCGTATGAGCCTACAATGCCTGCGTAGCTGGCGCTTAGGTTTTAAGTAGCTTTCGAGAACGCAGGCTGCGGGGTCAAGAACCTTGTAAGCAAGGCAGGAGGGATAAACTCTTAGCTGTGACTTCTTCTTTCTCGCATCCCTATATACGTACCTGAAAACCATCCTTTGTATGATCCTTGATGTATCTTCACTGTTCGAAAGCAGCTTTTCAAGTTGCATGAAAGGCAAGACGATTTACCACCACTGGGCACCTGTCTAGGAAAGAAGAGCAACCTGACCAATACTCCTTAGAGAGTAGTACACACTCGTTACCATGTACCCCATTCGTTGGCCACAGTTTGCACAAGCTGCTACAATAGTTGTTTTACACACGCATGTTTACTCTACAGGCTGTCACACGTTTTGAGTAGGTTCCGCCCTATCCTTTTGCACATTTTATACTTTACAACCAGTCACGAAACCATGACCAACAAATTTGCACGCATTGGATGCACACAGGATGATCCGAACTTAACCATCTGAACTACACGATTGCGTTGTTACCAACACACACAACCTGGAGGTTTTAGACCATACATTAATAATCCTTACAAAAATCTATTTATAAGTGAATCCATCTTCTAGGTAGAAGGCAGCATCAGCTGCCTGTTCCAGGTGGAAAGATGGCCGGGACCAGAAAAACTTCTCGCATCACTGCAAACAAACATTGCTGTTTGAGTGCCTTTCGACAAAACAACGTGCCGATGAAGAATTTACAACTCACGTTTTCATCTTATTTTCGATATTTTCGACAAATTTGCTACCAATTAAAAACGAGGCGATGATTTTTGATGCGATGAGCACAAAAGCTTTCCTTTTGTTATGTTAGTGTCTACTTTCCCGAAATGTAAACAAATTTTACACTATGTACAGGCACTGCGATCTTAAATTTGATGAACATTTCAGTTGCCCATTAGAATTATTTAGTTATGATAGAACACGAAATTGCATGATACACAGACACATTGCTTGTTACAGCTGACAGATCGAAAAAGTCTCGAGGGGCGAATTGGAAAATATTTAAAATTTAAAGGGGTCCTGTGCATGGACAAACTATTGGGAGGGCCTAAAAATAGTTTACATGCCCAATGAAAATTATAAATGAAACTAAACCGCAACTTTTACAATCAAAAATAAAATATTTTTAAATATTATGGACTATGTAGTATACAATATTAACAGGAGAGGTTTTAACACATGCTGAAGCATGTTTGAGCATTAATTTATTCTTAGCGAGATTTTGAAAGTTTGTTCAAGTTCCTCAGGTACTGAGAAAGTGGTATTATTCTAATGTAGAAGAACATGCATTAACAGTCTATTATTAAATTTTAACACATTTTAATACACATTGCAATCTTAGGCTTCCACGATCAGTGTCATGAGGATACTGATACCGGCGAGGGTATTTGTATCGACGAGCCGACCATCTCATCGTGGCACTCCAGACCTGCAGAACACGATACTACGATCGAAACGCCGGTATAAATGCCCTATAGGCGGCGTCACTGACAGCCAAGAGCCATCACTTAACCCCCTTTTTTTTTCTTTTCATGTTATCCCTTTTCGGTTAATCAAAAAGCAGTGTCATTTTGAAGTTTCGCTAGCACACTTCGTTATATGACGAAAGCCAATAGTTGCAATGTGCTAGCCTTGTACTAGTGGAAGACTATAGCGGAGAATGTTCCACAAACAGTTGGTAAGAAAAATATGTAAGATCGTTTTATGCAAAGTGTTCAGTAATACGTTTGAAAACAGAACGTGGGATTAAGAGAAATATCACATATTAATATCATGCAGCAAAACTAAGTTCTTTGGATTCTCAGAGTTAATAAAAAATTAACTTACCACGTCTTGAAACTTATCAAAAACAGCACTCTGTAGAACGCCTGCCAGCGTTTGGAACAAAGTCGCTGTCTGGTAAACGTTCAGGATTTTCGGTGGGCAGTTGAGGCTGAAAATAAATTATGAGTTTTATTGTCTTAACCACCCTCACCTTAACAGCTATAGTTACGGGCAAAATAGTATACACTAGTCTATACTGTATTAGGCGCCCATTAATTTAGTGCTTGCAAGTGAAATTTCTTTTTTCAAGAATTATGAGTAGTCCATTACATTAAAATATGATCCTTTTTCATCCAGAAGTTGAACGAATGACGAAAGATTCAAACCATTTCAAAAATTCATAAAAGAACAAGCATTTCATAATCTTGTACTGTCTACTCCGCGTTAGTACTACGTAATCCCAGAAAAGCTTTTCACCTAAATGAAGTATTGTAACCAATTTTAACATTTTGAGTGTACATTCACGGTCACAGTGAGTGGTGAGTTCATGTTCATATTACACCTAAATTCTTTCCCTTACGGTAACGATATATTTATTGTGACTAGACCTTTTCTGTCGTCCCAACTTCTTTCTGTCTTGACGGATACCTCGCACAGCATCTTCGGTCTCTGGTTTTGGTTTTCGTCTTCTTGTAGGAGTTCGGTCGAAGAGCCAGGGCCGATAAGAGACTTCTTCTAGCACCTTTCACAAGATACCAACAAAGGTTGAAAGCAATCCACAATAAGTTTCATAAGATTATATATATATACATATACATATATATATATATATATATATATATATATATATATATATATATATATATATATTAATGGTATGTAGTTATGAGTTTGAAAGAAATAGATTGAAATAAACCTTTAAAGTGTTGCATATACAATTTGGATGATTTATGGGGTACCAGTTGGGAAGGTTTACAAGGAAGGAAGATCCAATGAAAAGGATAAATGATGATAATCTAAGTGATGTACCCTCCAAAGGAAACACGAAGTATTTGGGAAAATACAGAAGAAAGTTCATGTCGGGAGTGTGGAAACATGATTGAAATATAGAATTAAGCAGTGGGCAAAGGTGTTGTGAATAGGTTTGGTTGAGAAATACCTGAAAATTCAATGAATGCAACTAGGAAAGTTTAAGTACGAATAAATAGAGATGTGATCAATTTAGAGGGGGAGGAAGGGATTTGTTGTCAGTGAAGAGAAAAGGTATGAAAGGAATTATGGAGAAAAAGGTTCAAAAAAGGAATGTGGAGCATATGCGCATGTTTCAGCAACAATGGTCTTCAGAAGGAATTTGATAGTGAAAAAACAATAGTCTACAGATGACATTTTAGGAAAAGTGTGGGGTATAAAAGAGGTTGGCGATGAGAAGGTAAGGATGAGACTGTCAGACAAGGATATTAATGAAGATGGAAAAAATTGGTATTGTATAAATAAAATAGTAGTTCTAGCAACTTACCTGTATTTGGGCTTACAAATCACTAGCATTTCTTTCATTACCCTATTGCACTCAGGGCAAGTGGTTTGAAATGGCTATATTTTTAATTCCAATATCCATTACACTCAAATATTCTAATCACTCCTCAACAGTGCAATTCGTTTATATCGAATCTTCTTGTTCACGACTCTGCAAAGTAAGATTTCGCGCCCTGCGAAAATCAATGGCCAAGGGAGCCGATGATTCTGGTGTGCGAGATATACCTTGTGGCGAAGTGCAATTTCACAGCTGTGTTCTGGCATGGTCAACAAAATAGGTGAAACACGAATTCATCATGTATTTCAAATTGTGATAACTCCATTAGTAGTCCTATAAAAAAATTGAAAAACAACAACCCTACAAAATCCAGTTATTGCTGTTACAACGCTTAATATATTCCAGTTTGAAATCAATTTTTGGTCAATTTTAGTTCAGTCAATGTCAGGTAAATCAGCTAATTTATTATATTGCCATACATACTGTCGCACATAAAATCGAAACGTTGATAACAATCTGGAGCAATTCTAGAGAAATTATTCTGGCTAATATATAAAGATCCTCTTTTACACAATTTTCATGACGTTTTGAGTAGAAGTTCAATTTTAATGTTTGTTTCTTCAAAAGTATTTTGTTATGGTATAAGTTTCACATCATTTTCATCTATAATTTTTAGATTTCGAGATATTTCTTATTTTCTGCGTTTCTGGGTAAGTATCATGAACCTCTGATCAGCGGCTGGAACCTGAACTTTTAACAATTTTTTATAAGATTCGAAATCTTATCCATCCCCATGAAGCAAGCTATTATATATCCTGAAATAAGAAATGTATTCATTGATCGTTTTGTATAAGTAATTATTTCCAAAGGAAAATCATGTAATGAATGTTCGTTTAACCTCAAAACTGTACTGTACCTTCGGATCTTATCCTTAGCATCGGGTTTACTCTATCTGATGACTTCCGAATATCATTTATTCTTTCTTACGTTTCCTCTAAAACTCTGGATTGTTTCGTTTTGCAAAGACTTTTCAACCTAAAGGTTGTCCCTTCGTTGAGATTCATCTAGGTCATTTTCGTTTAATATATGTTGAATGATGAACAGTAAGACAAATCGGCATTTCAAAATGAATAATCTTGCATACTAAAACTTCTTACAATAATCACGGGCGCAAATTTGCTTTTTGGGCACCCTAAAATAAACACTGTAAATTAATTTTATTCATATTATTTTGTACTTAGCTTACAATGTTTACCATATACCAACCATACCACCAACTTTTAAATCTTGTTTGTGGGATATTTATTTAAGCTTCTTTAGTATGTCGACGAACAAATTAAGATCCTTACAATAATCTATTATAAAAATTATGGAATCAATTATAAAAATAAATTACACACTTTTAATGGGTTATTATTGCAGATTTTCACAATGCAGGTTATAAATTATTAACCCTGATAATCAACATATCAATGTTTTAACTTCCAAATCTTGAAATAAATGTTATATAGAGTAATATTTTACAACACATTCATCTATCATGACATATCAATACTGAAAATAAAGGAGATCTTAAGTTAACTTTTAATACTACAATTCATCTATAATAAGACAGATTACCAAATCTTGAAGTAAATGTAATATTGAGTAACTTTACCACGACAATTCATCGAACAAGATACCGCTTACAAACTCTGAAAATAAATATATTGAGTAATCTTTTAGTACTACAATTCATTTGCCACAACCACAGCTTTCCATCCTGCAAATAAAAGTTAGATTGAGTTATCATTTATTACTATTCATCTAACACTATTGCAGCTTACCAACCTTGAAATAAGGTATACTGTATAATCGACCACTACGACAAATCCTCGAGGATGAAAGGTTACTAATCCTGAAAATAAATGTTATATTGAGTAATATTTTTCCAACAATTCTTCTACGAAGAGACCTTACCAATCCTGAAAGTAAATGTTATATTGTGTAATCTTTTACTACGAATTGATCTTTCAAGACACAGCTGGGCAATCCTTAAAGAAGTGTTATATTGAGTAATCTTTCTACAAGTCTTGTAAAGAGATGATAGCTTATCAATCCTGCAAATAAATGATGTATTGAGTAATAGTTTACTACGACAATCTAAAAAGAACGACTACTTACAATTTTAAAATAAATGTGAGAGTGAATAATTTTTTATTACTATTTATCACGCATCATTACAGGTTTCCAATTATGAAAACAAACGATATATTGAGAAATCGTGTACTAAGGCAAAACAAGTAACAAGACACAGTTTACCAATCGTGAAAATAAATTTATTGAATAATATTTTAGTACAACAATTAGTCTAAAAAACGAGTCCATCAATGCAGAAAATAAATGTTATATTGAGAAATATTTCAGTACGACAATTCATCTGACAAGATAATTCAGAGAACAATGCTGAAAATAAATGGGATAATGAGTTATCTTTTACATGATAATTCATCTGAGACAGATTATCAATTCTAAAAATTAATGTATTGGGCAATCGTTTGCTACGACAATTATTTAAAAGGACGACAGCTTCCCAATCCTGAAAATAAATGTCACATTGAGTAATATTTTATTGCACTTCATGTAACATTATGTCAGCTTTACAATCCTAAAAATAAATTAATATTGAGCAAGCAGCTTTCCAATCCTGAAAATAAATCAATATTGAGCAATCTTTTACCACAATATATATAAGAAGATAGCTTACCAACCCGGAAAATACGTGAAGTTATATTGGGTAACAACGACATTTCATATATAACAACAGCTTACCAATTCTGGAAAAAAGTTATATTGAGCAATGGTTTACTACAATAATTCTTCTAACACAATGAGAGATTAACAATCTTGAAAATAAATGTTATATTAAGAAATATTTTACTACAACAATTTACAAGATATCTTAGCAATATTCTGAAAATGAATGTATTGAGTAACTGTTTAGCAATTCACCACACAAGAATATCGCACACGAGTCGTGAAAATAAAATTTGTATATAAATTACCATCACTAATACGTAAATTACTATCACAACAAGCTTTTACGTACCATCACAATTTACCATACAAGAATACACAGCCAGGTATTCTGAAAAAAAAATAGCGTAATCTTTCAACATCAATTCATCAAACAAGATCCACTTGTCAGGAATCCCGAAAATACATTTTATATCGAGTTATTTTAAACATCCGCAGTTCATAACCTTACATTACGGCTATTTACGAGTTTATTAAAAGCCAATTCGGCATGGCAGATAGGACGTCATCCTATTGCCAGTCTTTCTTCCGGACGTTCCGTCTGCTTCGGTGCAAACGACAGCGGCGGCGGGATAGTTGTCTGAACCCCCTCCCTGTGCGCCGACTAGCGATTCTGACTACCGCCTGACTACCGATTCTACAGGCTCGTCGTGATGGCCGGCAGGAGAACCGCGCCAGTCTTTTGTCATAGTAACTGACGTTTGTAGGGTTCCTCACGCGAGTTTTTTCCTTGAGGGCTGAGGTCATTTGCTGCACAGCTAAAACTCCATTTTTAAAGGCTGGGCGTTGATTTTGCCTGCTGAAGGTTGTAAAACGACGTGAATTTTCATTCCTTCCTGTTGAAATTGTTGGAATTCTGGTAAACGTTTCCGACTTTCCGTTGTATGCGATCGTAGTAGTTTGCCATAATGACATGCAACCATTATTGATGCAGATGTGTTCCTTGATTACAGGGCACGATCAGCAATCGCAGATCCATAAACCAGATACGCAGTTCTGTAAAAATAAAGCTGTAAATGGCATTAACAATACAAGCAATGATTATTAGAAAGAAAGAAATCGTTGAACAGGTGAAGAATGGAGTTCCAGAAACTATCGAATAAAACAAATCACACGATTGTATGTTACTGAAAAATAATGGACACTGAGTTACTCAGAATAGTAAAGCTGAAAGAAATCGTGAATTAAGATCAGCATACACTGTAACAAGGTACTTTACGGCAATTTAAACTACACACTTAAAAACACGATAGGAATCCCTTTTTCCGTATTATTTATATATATATATAACATTTTTAATTATTTTAATTCAAATACTTTCAGATGAAGTTAACGTAATTACAAGAGGGTTTAGGCTGATTGAACTATAAAGAATTTATGGCATATAGAATGTTGTCCTAACAATATTACATTCTTATAATACAATTTAACAAACATATTAGTAAAGTTAAAGGAAAATAAAAGTCCATTATTTGAAAAGTACACACACAATAAAACGTACAATTATCAGTGCAAAATTCCGAGTCCTTAAACTTAAAATAATGGCATTGATCAAGTAATACACAGACAAGTATACGAAGTTGAGTAAAAAGAGCTTGAAAGAATAAACTTAAAATATCTGTAAAGTTATTACAAATTACAAATATTCAGATATCTACAACCACAAAGTACCGAAATATATCTAACTCACGTCAAGCAATCTTTCTAGCTTCAAAATTAAATTTACCGTAATAAACTTAAGAACGCACAAGCCTTTGAATTTTTGAAAAACAATCTTCCTTTTTACCAGTTGTATTCATTAATTATCTAAACCTATTGTATAAATTTCCACCACCAAAATTAAGCTTGGACTACGAACTACAAAACATAAAACCAAGCTAGCAGTCAACAAATACATTCTATTAGATACCTACTTACATGAACACTCAAGTAAAACATTTCATGTCCGCAAGCAATTACCAGACCATTGTACAATGTTTCATCACCTTAGTTTAAGCAGCGTAAGCTACTTATTACAAAAATAAAAGAATCCTAGAAGACAACTAATTGCTAATTACATGTACTACATGCAAGCAAGGCGTCTTCCATGTCCGCAAGCCTGAGGAAGTCCAAAAATTTGCTGTCAAGAAAGAAGCGGACACACAAACATAAATAAATGAACAAACAAACACACCTTCACACAAAGGTGACGGACAAGTCAATCTCACAACCTTCACCGTCAGGGCCTTTTAACTCCCCTATAAAGTTGTGGTGAAGCATGACCTAATTTAGGCGCTTCCTGTTGATAGGCGCGTTCCCCAAAAATGCGAAATTGTCCATGCGCTGTATCTCATCTGGGAACCAGAACTCAAAGTTGTAAGTGCAGAGTTGGCAAGCAAGACTACACCGGGCGACACTAGCGCCCCTCTCCTTGCACCCAGCAGTTTTTCACCAGTTCCAACGAGAAGTTGAGCGACCCTGACAAACTTGA